ATCAGCTATCATTTCGTCAGGCCTTTGGATTTGTCCCAAGCTCACCCAAAATGCACTCTTCTCCCATCCAGGCTAACTCAATGACAGTGAAAAACCATTGCAAATCACCAATGAAAGGTAGTATTACTCTCTCTTCATCCCAAAATCAGTATGACGAGGGACTATGGGTCCTAGATACCGGAGCAAGTGGCCACATAGTGTGTGAAACCAGTTTTTTCCTTAGGTGTAAACCTGTTCAGGGAATTAGAGTAACACTACCTAATGGAGAATAAACACCTACAACTCGCATTGGTATAGTTAAATTAGAGTGTGGAATCTTGCTTACTAATGTCCTGATAGTCCCTACCTTCTCTTATAATCTCATTTTCATAAGTTAGTAAACCAATAATTCACCAGTCTCACTAGTTTCCAATTCTGTTTTATCCAGGATCTTGTCTCTCGACAGAGGATTGGTTCAATCCAAGTTACTAAAGGTCTCTACTTATTGGGAGATTCCAGGAGTTAGTCATCCCATTCCAAATTTCTTCCCACCACTTCAAAGAGCACTCATAAAGACTCAGACTTATGACACATGAGATTAGAGCACCCATCATTGTCTAGATTACAGGAATTACACAGATGTTGATAGTATAGTTTTACCTTTATCAAAACACTGTGAGGTTTGTCATTTGTCAAAACAAAAGTGATTACCCTTCAATAAGAGCTCTGGTACTAGGGATGCTATTTTTGACCTTGTTCAAATTGACATTTGGGGACGAGTGGATGTAATTTCTATTGATGGATTCAAATACTTCTTGATTGTGCAAGATGACTGCAGTTGATGTGTATGGCTTTTTGTGATGACTAACAAGTCTGAAGCTAGACACCTTGTTCAGTCCTTTTGTGCTATGACATTGAATCAGTTTCACAAAAAGATTAAGGTGATAAGAACTGGCCAAGAACAGGAATTCTGTATGCCAGAATTTTACCAAACTCATGGAATAATACATGAGATGAGATGTGTCAGAACTGCTCAGCATAATGGAAGAGTAGAAAGAAAACATCAACACTTGTTGAATGTTGCAAGGTGATTGAAGTTTCAAAGTAACTTACCAATTAGTTTCTGGAGTTGCTTCTTTTTACATGCTGTATTTATGATTAATAGGATTCCCCGTCCTATTTTAAAGAACAAAACACCATGTGAAGGGCTATTTGAAGTTTCACCAGATTATAGTGACTTAGGGTCTTTGGATGTTTGGCTTATGCAACAAATACTGATGAGCATAAGACCAAGTTTACACCAAGAGAAAAGAAGTGTGTCTTCCTATGATATCCCTTTGGAATCAAAGGATATAAAATGTATGACACGGAACAACACAAAGTGTTTATTAGTAGGAATGTGAAGTTCCATGAAATGGTGTTCCCCTGCAAAGAAAAGGGTTCTAAGGAAGCAACTCCATAGACTGAGAAGAGCAACCCTGTCCCTCCTACAGTGATGATTCTGAAAATATTTTTCCACCTGATAACAATGTCCATCAGACCAATGACTGAGATTACACACCCTTTTCACCTCTAACACCACCAACAACATCGTCTCCATCAACCTAGAGCCCTAATACACACATACATCCCCATCTCAAAGTTTAGGTTCACTCCCTATTGCCCTTAGGAAGTTTAGGGGCTTTCATCACAATCTTCTTACCGCTACCAATAAGGACTTAGAGCCTGATATGCCATACCCCATATCTAAACATCTCTCAGCAAACACTTTCTCCTTCTCTTAGAACCTTTGCTCTTAACATTAGCACTATCACAGAACCTCAAACCTATGCAAAAGCTTGCACTGACCCTAGGGTGGAACAAGGCAATGAATGAATAATGGAGTGCACTATAAGAGGATAAAATTTGGAAGATTGTTGATCTACTAGAGGGCAAGGTTGCAATAGGGTCAAAGTGGGTCTACAAGACCAAGTTTAAACCAGATGGAGATGTTGAAAGACTAAAGGCCAGAGTGGTAGCAAATGGATATACCCAAGTTCATGGGATTGATTTCTGGGACACTTTTTCCCCAGTAGCGCCAAGCAGAACTCTATGAAGCTCTTTATTGGTTTAGCAGTAGCCAAACAATGGCACTTACATCAAATGGATTTAAGCAATGCATTCTTGAATCGTTTTCTAGATGAAGAAATCTATATGGAATTGCCCCCAGGGCTCAATAAGTTACCACGGTACAAATGAAAAGTTTGTAAACTCAAATTATTGCTACCAGATGGTTAGTTCGCTAACGGATATCATACAAACTTATAACTTGAAGCTCAAGAAACAACACAACACCCTAGGAACTGGTTATCATCGATTCCTAAATCCCAATTACAACTCCTAATGACTATGAATGAATATATATTCATGTTCAACGAAATCGACATACCAACTATAGAGCACGGGTAAATACAATTGTTTTATTGATAATTAATCGGTATACAACACATATGAGAAGTCAAATAGAAATGTTTAAGAAATAAAAAATACCCGATGGTATCACACAACCATTATTTCCTTAACGGACAATAAATTAAGGACACGAAAGAAGGAAAAAAAACAAGCTAGAAAGACACGATACCACAAAACAACAACAACAATAAATAGAAGAACTCACATGGAACAAAAGCCACATCCAAATTACACAAACGACCATGTCACCTTCAAATCACCCTGTTCCCCAGAAGCCACCCCGAGCGCATCCCACACGGCCTTGGAAGCATCCACGACGTTGTTGGGACACGGCGGCTGGTAATCGTGCTCGCCGTCGCAGCCCTCCATGGAGTCGCACTCGTCCACCACCTTCGCCACCACGCTCCTCCCGTTCCCCGCCGTAATCTTGATCTTCTGAAAGCAGCTCTTCCTGTTGTTGAACCAGCCGCTCGACAGCGCCACGACCCGCTCCTCGTCCCCATGAAACTTGTGGTCGCACTCCGACGCCCCGCCGCCGTCTTTACCCTTCTCGAAGCTGTTGAGGGTGAGGACCGCCTTGGTCTGCCTGGTGACCGGCGGCGAGCACTTGTACGTTGTGTACAGCTTGCCCTCCACGCAGCACTCGGAGTTGTTGATCCGATTGCATTTCTTTGGCGGAGGCTTCTTGCCTCGGAGCTTGCCGCTCGGTGAACAAGTTTGAGGTTTCGCCTCCACATCAACGTCGAGCCCGCCGAGGCTGCTGGCGATAATGAGAGCCAAGAGTAGAATGGAAATTGGACTCCTCATACTTGAAATGAATGTTGGTTGGGTCGATGGATGGTTCTTGTTTATGTGGGAGTAAGGCCTATTATATAGTGGTATACAATGGATGTTAACATTTTTTATTAATAATTCGAGTTAATGAGATTAACTGGGTTATGATATATGGTATAAGTGTTGGTTTGGTTAAGAGCGCGTCTGTTGGAATTTATACGACCCCAACATAAACAGTTTATTAAAACGCAGGGTGTGGTGGGCATGTGCAAACTTCAAGCTTGTGACTTGGCTTTCGTTTTTTAGGGATGGTGTAAGAGAGCGAGATAAGATCCATAATAACCTTCTCTAACCAATGCAGTCAAAAATGCGTTTCGGTGTTGAAGCATTTTGGTGACCTAGGAGCATAAAAAAGTAATAAGGTTTTAAAAGCGTGGTTTTGACTATATTATAGCACAAATTGCAGCGCGATTCTATACGTAGATGCATTCTGGTGATCTAAAAGCGTATAAGTGCAAAATTAAAGCGTGATTTTGACTATTGCTCGTAACAACTCGAGTTATTGGAGTCAAATGATTGAGAAAGATGCTGATTTATGAGAATAAGAGTGGCAATTCGAGGGGAAAGTTAACGTCTGCAATCTGCATCGGCGGGCGGGTGAGTACTAATTAGTTTCAAACTTTTGTTCTTCAATTTATGGATGAATCCAGTATCGAGATAACAACAAGAGCATCAGAAGACGCAGACGGCAGAAGTGCCTCTAAGATTCTTCTCACAGTAACCAAAGTAACAGTTGGAATTTCATGTCCTGATCCCTCCCTTTGAAACGAGGTACTAGGCAGCTAATCCAATAAACTTCTCTTCCTGACACTTGCTGTGTCAGCCAGTCGCTTGGTTAGTTTGTCAAACTAACGACCGATAGTTTCACGCCCGGTTTAGTATTATTACGGGCAAGGTTGTCAAATCAGTTTGTACGGTGGGTTTGACAAGTGAAATGGTACTATTGGTGATATAATCGATTTGTGGCAATTTAACAAAATACGTGAAAATGAGAAAATCATTAAATTCAATGAAATTAATCATATATAAAACATATTTCATGACAATTTGCTTCTAATCCAACAAATAACATCAATTTTTTATTTGTAAATTCATGAAATAAATTAATTTTTTTATTAATTAAGTTCACTAAAACAACGTCATTTTGCTTAGTGTCATACTCCCAACAACAGCAACTAAATAATAGTATAATAGTAAAGGACTTATCATTGCGTGTTTTTCTTTTTTGTTGTCAACTAACGTGAGTACTAAAAACCAAGGAGAAAATACAAGTTCAATATAATTTTTCTTTGGGTATATGCCCAAAAATAGCCAAACCAATTAAGTTGTGGACAGAAATATATAGCCAAATCATTATGAAATTCAATAAAATAGCAAAATCTTTTTACAGTGAGATAGACAATTATAGTTATCCATTAACTTTTCGTTAAATTTAATAAGATGGACTAATGGATTATGAGGCGCTAAAAAGTTGAGATCCTGTGTTGTGGAACTCACCGGCACAAAATCTGGGCCGGGTCTGGTCTTCACACTTCTTTAGACTCACTTCCTCGATCGAGACAACGATTGAAACAGATTGATAACATTGACTAGTAGACTGTATACTCCAACAGTGTATTCCTTATTTATTCATACAAAATTTTACACAAAATACATCTCGTGGTCACAGAATTATTGATAAACATAATAAATTACCAAATGAACAGTCAAACAAATGTGATTTCGCGAATCATCAACTAAAAAAACTTCTGGGTGCAATCCGTGGGCTTGAAGGACAAAGTGTGCTTCTGAAGGTCATACCCAACCCGGAAATTCTGCTGCGCAACATTCCCGTAGATGCTCACGTCGTCGTTACCATAAAACGCCAAACAAGCCACCGTATCGCTGACCTTAATGAAAACATTCTCCACGGTCAGCGCCACGTCAGCTCCCTTGAAATGCGCCGTGATCGACGGCACCTTGAGTTTCGGCCCGGACACGTAGCACAGGCTCAAATACCCTTGCGGGTCGGTCGTCTTGTTGCTGCCGGTGACTTGGCTCTCCACGGCGCTCGATAGCTGCGTGAAGAAATCGGTCGGGACGAGGGTCAACGTGGTGCCGGAGTCAACGATGATGTTCCCGCTGGATGTCTCGCCGACGGTGGAGCCGTGGAAGGGAATCTTCTTGCTCCCCACGCTGACCGCTTCGAGCTGAACGACGTAGAAAGTCGGCTGGGACGGATCAGGAATCAACGGCGTGGTAGCGACACCGTTCCCTGAAACGACAGCGCTTTGCCCGAAACTGAGCGTACTGGTCGCCTCGGCTGCTGCGGAAGACGGTACGAGGCAGTAGGAGAATTTTCCGCCGATATGCGGCCCGAGTTGGGTCACGAGGGAAACCGACCCGCCTCCGAGTCCAACGATACCTGAACCCTTCGGACTAAACGTCCCCGCATTGTCATGCCCGCAACCAATCACCATCTTCGGAAATGCCACGTGGCGGCGGGGACCGGCCGTTGACCCCAGCGTGAGAGTTTCGACGGCTATGTCTCCCTTGGTGTGCGACTGGTCCCCGTAGCTCGCTTCGTACTGACAAACGCCGTCGTTTGATGAGCAGTAGCTTCCTACTTCGCTCTGGAGTGAATCACACGCGCTGGACTGGCACGGCACCGTTTTGTACGTGCTCGAGGAGTTCGGGGAGAAAACGGCGGCGTTTTGTTTGTAGCAGTTGGTGCAAGGCTTGCACTGCGTCCATATGAGGTCGCTGCCCGTGTCGGCGATCGCGACGATTGGAAACGGCGGCGTGCCGAGGGAGATGTTCATGAGGTACTCCCCGTCGCTGGCGGCCAACGGAGAGTCGGCGCCGCCACGGCGGCGACGACGGGAAGTGGTTGTTGGAGATGACGCGGCCGCCATCGCGGCGCTGAATCTTTGGGCGCGACTGAAGGATCGCTTGAGAGAGTTTCGAATGCGCTGAGCTGGCGTTTCGAGGGGGTCGTAGAATGGTGAGCTGGAGGAGTCGCGGTGGACTAGGTCAACGGTGAAGCCCCCGGCGGCTTCAGCGTTGACCAATGTGAGGAGGGTTAGTGTCAGTGAAAGTGATAGAGCCAATATCGTTGTGGTGATTGGAGAAGCCATGTTCGATTATGAATTCACTAATTTTGGTTGATTGTGTCGTGTTGGGTAAGAAGATTAAGTGGTTGATGAATGGAAGAGGTGATGATGAGATTGATCGTATATATACAGAACGAGGTGAATTAAGAAAGTGATTGAGACAAAATTAGTGTCCATAATAACACTAGTCAAATTCATTCATAGAATGGACGAGTAAAAGCATTTCTAGTTCTGACGAGAACTCTGGATGCATGAGTACCATAATTTTGTAATCTTTCAATCATGAACCTGTTTCCAGTCTTTGCTCCAATATGGTCTTCGGTTTTTTTTTTTTTTTTTGTGGAAATATGTGTCGCCTGTTGGGCCGATGGTCAATGTATATAGTTTATATTTTTTTAATTTAATTTAATAGGCCGATCAAGTTATTCCCAAGTGGCATAATTAAGGTACGTTACAAATCTACAGGTCAGTGGAGTGGCCTACAGCTGATAATCGACACAAGATTAACAATAGCCGAAGCAAACGAAGAGAATCGAGACGAGTTTACGTGGTTTCTTTGTTTGTTGTGAACAAGACGTAGTCCACGGGAAGCTTTCTACTTTTCTTATTTTCCTTGCCCCCATACGTATACACAGATATATATTTATACATCATTGAAGCCATACCCTAATCCTAGCCGAATGCCACGATCATTCTCGGCGACGACATTACATTGTGGGCCGAGACACCCCATGGGCCAAAGGCCCTTACATTAAAACCCTATATCTCAACAACTATAAGACTATCAATAATTCAATATCGATAGAGCTGATATTTTTTTTTTTTTTTGACAAGGTAATCTGTATACCAAGAAATCAAAGTTCAGGGACTACATTGCTCTCTTGTAAAAGTAGAGAGACTAAAATGACAGGTGGCATTGAGAACCATATCTCTGTCTCCTCAGCCCTACAATTCAATCGAGCCATCTCATGTGCACATGCATTTCCTTCTCTCTTCCAGAATCTCCACTCGACATTTCCTTCTTCAGACGCTAGATCCCGAATTTCTTCACAGATCATCCCCACCTCCATCTCTGTTGCATCCCTCCGATTAAGCTTGTGTATCACTGATTGGCAATCGGATTCAAGAAGCAGCGGTTGGGAATAATGCGCTCGGGTTAGCTTCAGTCCCCATAGCATTGCTTGGGCTTCCGCCATCTCAGTCGGCCATCGCCTTTTCGTTCGGTAAGTCGCTCCCATCAGAAAAGTCCCTGTGCAATTCCTGAGAACCATTCCATAACCCGTTCCTTCCATGCCCAGGACGCTGCATCTGTGTTGAGCTTCAGGATTCCAACAGGAGGGGGTTCCCATTTGATCTGGGTTCGAGGGAGAGTTGATGGTGTTCCTGTACTTCCCTGGCCTTGCTGCGCTTTGTATTCATCCAGGTAATTCAGAGCTCTGCTCACGATTTCCCATTCCTCTAGCTTAGGGTTATTGAAGAGATGATTGTTTCGTTCTTTCCATAGAAACCATAGCGTGATAAGCACCTGCATTAGTTCCTCTGTATTACCCCTCTCCAGTAAATCACATAACCACTCTTCGCAGTTCTTACCTTCACCCAAATTAAAGAAATTTGCCATGTCACTCGATCTCCACACCCTCCCTGCCCAGTCACAGTCCCTTGTGATGTGCTCTTGAGTTTCCTGTAGCCCACAAAATGGGCATTCATCGTGGGCGTCCTTAATTCTCCGACTGAGATTCACTCCTGTTGGTAAAATGTTGCTGCCCCATCTCCATACAAAGATTCGTACTTTAGGAGGCAATTCTAGCATCCACACTTTCTTCCAGTCTATCGGTATATATCTCTCAATCTGGTTTAATGCTTTCTTTCTTCTCCATTCCTTGTATCCTGATCTGACCGAATACTTCCCAGTTTTGTCTCTTCCCCAAATCAAAACATCAGGCCTAGGTTGAGAAGGGATTGGAATCTGTTCAATTCGGTCCCTGTCATTAGGTTGGAAATAGGATTGCAGTAAGTTGCTTTTCCATGAACTAGTTCCCCAATCAATCAGACTAGAAACCTTCTCAGTTGCGCCCAGTCCTGTTGCTTGCGACTGGATTTTGAAGTTCCCAGCTTCTGGGATCCAACGATCCCACCAAATGCGAATATTTTCTCCATTCCCCACTCTCCATCTTGTCCCATCTCTAACTAGAGATTGTGCTTGCATTAGGCTCCTCCAGATATAACTAGGATTCCCTCCTATATCTGCTTCCAAGATGTCACAGTGAGGGTAATAGCGAGCCGTTAGCACCTTTGCCACTAAAGAGTCAGGATTCTTCAGTAGGTTTCAAAGCTGTCTCCCTAATAATGCAATGTTAAAACCATGCAAATCCTTAAATCCCATCCCTCCTTCATATTTTGGTCGACATAACTTTTCCCAACTCATCCAGTGTATTCTTCTTTCCTCTCTTTTCCTGCCCCACCAGAAGCTAGCAATCATTTTCTGAATTTCTTGAATCACTCCCTGGGGAATCTGAAAGACTAACATGGCATAGAGGGTTTGAGCTTGTGCCACAGCTTTGATGAACACTTCTTTGGCAGCCGTGGATAGCAATTTACCTTTCCACATTTTGATCTTATCTCTTACTCGGTCAATAAGCTGTGCAAAGACAGCTTTCTTAGCTCTACCTATAACTGTAGGAAGGCCTAGGTATTTGTCATGATGCATAACTCTTCTCATTCCCAGAATTGCTCCCATTTCCTCTCTATCCCTTTCTAACACATTAGTGCTAAAGGATAACTCAGATTTTGCTAAACTCACCTGCTGACCGAGGCTAACTCATATGATCTGAGAAGGTCTCTGAGGGCTTCTCCTTGCTCCTTCTTGTTTACAAAGAAAAATATGATGTTATCAGCAAAGAACAGGTGAGTAATAGGTCCATTACTGCTAACCTTAATACCTCGAAATTTCCCTTCTGCCACTACTTTTCTTGTCAATGCTGAAAGACCCTCAGCACATAGGAGGAAGAGGTAGGGAGATATAGGGTCCCCTTGCCTCAATCCCCTTGTAGGTTTAAAGGTCTGTGTTTGATGCCCATTGATCAATGCTGCATAACTAACACTGGTTACACAGCTCATTATCAGTTTCACCCAATCAACATGAAAACCCAACTTCAGCATTATCCCCTCTAAAAAGTTCCATTCCACACGGTCATAAGCTTTAGCTATGTCTAGCTTAGCTGCCACAAAGCCCTTCTTCCCTTGTTTCCTGTTTTTCATTGCATGAAAACACTCTAATCCAATAATAATATTGTCTGTGATGTTCCTCCCCGGAACAAAAGCACTTTGAGTCTCAGTAATGACCCCATCCAGTATTGGCTTGAGTCGATTTGCTATTACCTTCGACAGGATCTTGTACAGGACTTTACATAGTGCTATAGGCCTGAATTCCTTAGGGGATGTTGGCTTCTTTGTCTTAGGTATCATCGCTAACAGGGTGTGATTCAAATTAGGAGGAACCACCCCAGTTAGGAGGATTCTTTGAAGTTCTAGACAAACTGTGTCCCCAACCGTGGCCCAGTTTTTTTGAAAAAACAGGGCTGGCATTCCATCCGAACCAGGTGCTTTGGTTGGTGCCGTTTTTGATAAAGCATCGTAGATTTCTTCTCTTGAAAATGGCCTCATGAGTTCCTGATTCATTTGGGAAGTAACCTTTGGTTCCACCACTTCCAAAACCTCGTTGATACTGGGTGTCTGCTCAACAGTGTATAGTTTGATCAAATGATCAGTGAAACAAGCCATCACTCCCTCCTGCCCTTTGAATGTAACACCATTCTCATCTTGCAATTCCTTGATTGTGTTTCTTCTCCTTCTGTTAGAAGCCTTGCGATGTAAGAAACTAGCATTTTTGTCCCCTTCCTTTAACCAGTCTGATCTAGACCTCTGCTTCCACCTGATTTCTTCTAGATCTAGCACCTCATTAAGTTCCCTTTCCAATGCCCTTCGTTGTAGTAGTACATCCTTATTCTTTTTTGCTTTTGATATTTTTGCTAGGGCTCGCTCTATCTTCCTCTTTCTCACTTTCAGGCTGCCAAAAGTTCTCTTTCCCCACTCAAGTAGTACTTTCTCGCAGTTCTTGATCTTATCCTCCAGAGGCAGGTCTGGATTCTTTTTCCATTCAGTCTCAATAATAGAACCACATTCCTCATGCTTTTGCCAATAGGCCTCGAATTTGAAATGCCATCCCCACTTGATCTGCTCTTCATGTAGATTAAGTTCAATTTTAATGGGGATGTGATCTGAGGTCCATCTTTCTAAATGAATCACACGTGCTTCAGGAAACACATTCTTCCACTCCATATTAGCCACAGCTCGGTCTAGCCTTTGCTCTAAGAAATCTTCATCTGTTTTACCATTGTCCCAAGTAAACATTGGTCCATATTACCCCATAACTTCTAGATGACACTCATCTAAAGTGACTTGGAAATCCTCCATATTTTGGATGTCAGGAGGATTTCTTCCATTCTTCTCCTCGTAGCTTAGGACCTGATTGAAGTCCCCACAGAGTATCCATGGCAGATTTGACTGGCCATGAAGTCTTCTAATTAGTTCCCAAGTTTTAGGTTTATTTTCCTGCTCTGGCCAACCATACACCCCAGTTAATCGCCATTTGTTATCCTCTGAACCCTCTGTCACCACTACATCAATATAGTTCTGAGTAGCAGCCTTCACCTCAACAACCATCTCTTCCTTCCACATCATGATCAGCCCTCCTGCTCTGTTTCTTGATCCAATCCCTCTGCCTTTTGTCCATCCCAATTTCTGTATAGTTGCTTCCCATTCATGCTCTTTCTTCTTTGTTTCCATGAGAAACACTATGCTGGGGTCCTGTTCTGTTAGTAGCTGAGCTACTCGAGCAATTGTCGTTGTTTTCCCCAGCCCACGACAGTTGTAGCTTATAATGCTCATTGAGCTGGGCGGCCCTGTTCCTTGACAGGGTTCACCTCTCCGCCATCCATGTTTTGTTTTGGTTCAGAGGGGATCAG